AATATAGATTTTTAAGAGGGTTTCACACATGGAGTAAAGATGGAAGAAAAAAGGTGTAGTTTTTAATCCTTCTTCTTCCTTCTTCTCCATGCTTCTGGAGTTTTTAGAAGCACAAAAAAATGATTGGTTTAGAGTTAGTCACACTTTTAATTATGTGAGTAGATATAGAAAGCCTATTTGTTGAGATATAATAACAATACACCTGTCTGTAGTTAATAGGGTAAAAATTGGTATAAAGGTGAAAAGACTGCGTGATTTGGGGCCATTTTGTATCATCAGAACGAGATGAGCCAGGCTGTGGTGATTTAAATTTGTGCAGTCAGTCTGGATAGACCTGCCAAGTTTTTGTAAGGATCCTTCAATAAACACGAGAAACCAGAATCTAATGAGCCCAGGAGTTTTCTTCAAATAATAAGGACTGAGATAAGTGGGACTCCCCACAAGGGAGGATCTCAGGGGAATTCAGCCCAAAGGAGGCTGAGAGACTAGAGAAAAGTTATATCCACAGTGAATTCAGCCCAAAGGAGGCCAAGAGAGAGAAGTCACACAGCCTGTGCTGATGTTTGATGACTCCCACCATAAAAAAAAACCCCACAAAACAAGCAATAAAGCCAACCACTCCAACCCCAAAACAAGCAGGTTATTTTTTCTTTTTTGAAGTGGAATTTCTTGACTTTCAGTCCCCTTTGTCTCTTATCCTGTCACTGAACATGACCAGGAAGAATCCGGCTCTGTTGTGTTTGCTTCTTTCCATCAGATATTGAGACAGGTTAATACCACCACATCCTTCTCTTCTCCAGGGTGGAGAGCCCCAGCTCCCTCAGCCTCTCCTCATACAGGGGCTGCTTCCATCCCTTGGCCATCTTTATGGTCCCTCAGTGGATTTGCTCCAAAATGTCTATGTCTCTCCTCCTTTCCCACTTTTTTCCAGTGTTGTCTGGAAAGAAATGTTGCCAGCTCATGTCTTTCTCAGCCAATCTCAAATTTAAATATAAATAAATTGTCTAAAGTGCTGTTGTGGTTTAATTCCAGCTGGCAAATAAATTCCACACAGCCACTCCCTCACCACCCCCGGTAGGTTGATGGAAATGAAGTGCGTGAGTAAAAGTGAGAAAGCTCGTGGTTTGAGATAAGATGATAAGAACAGTTTAATGATTGAGATGTAAAATAATAATAATAATAATAATAATAATAATAATAATAATAATAATAATAATAATAACAATAATAATAATAATAATAATTCTTCCATGCTGAAATCTCACCCTTCATTCCCACTATTAATGCTGTCCACCCAAGTATCTCTAAATGGAGACTGATGGGTGTAGAACTCTAAAATAATTTTGCCTGCATGGTGTTAATTGCCAATATCTTTCCCAGTCCAAGAAATATGGAACAACTCTTTCCTTGAGATTCTACATCCTACTGTTCTAGTCATGGCATGATTTGCTTCTACAGAATACAAAAAGCAGAAAGTACTTGATTTCATTAAAATACAAATTCATGTCCCTTTTGGATGTGGTTATTCTTTTATTTGTATTTCATGTGATGAGGATAAAGCTGTGATAAAATATTTTTTTCTTCTTTCTTATTTTTTTTCCTGTGTCTAGTATGTTCGGAAATGCTTGTTCCAATTTGTACAAACTGCCTTCACAGTAAATTGGACAAGTTTCCCTGAGGAGCAGTAGACAAAAGACTTGGGAAGTGCCATGGGGATGGGGAGGGAAATGCTTTTATTGCCAATCAAATTAAAGGCATTTAGATCTGCTCTTAAATTTTCCTGTAAATATATTACTGTGGGGTAAGAATTTGGCTCCAGAGCTGTGTGAATAAGGGATATTTCACTAGCTTGGTAGGTTGGGGTGGGAGGTGGCTGCTGCTAAAAAGGTTGGTTAAGCTACAACAAAATATTTCATTTTCAATTCTTTCTATTTTTCCTCCTTTACAAGGAGAAACAGCTTTAAAATGGAAACACGTCCAGAAAATGATAAATCAACATCAAACACTTGGAGTGCTCTAAAAGCCCTCCTTCTCTCCCCCTTTCACACCACTCTGTTGGAGAAAAAATAGACACATTCACTGTTTGCCAAAACAACACTTGCCCAGTTGTAATCAAGGCATTTTACAACAGGGTGTAAACTTTCACTCCATGTTTGTTGTCTGTGGCCTTGGGGAAGTCATGGCAAGAAATGTTTCCACTTGCTTATCTCTAAAGAGAGAGGGTGGGTCAGGAAAAAGTCTCTGTAAAGAGACTGCTTTCAAGCTGTTTGGTTGTCCCAAATCCCTGCAGTGGTCTTAAACTGTTGGAGATAAAGAAAATAATTCCTTAGCTCTGTCCAAAGACTTCCTCTTAACTGTCTTCCATGTGCCCATATTTTCCCAGGTAAGAGTTTTGCTGGATCTCAGGTTCGTTTTGTGATGAAGGTTGTATTGGTAGTTCTGTGCTCACCTGAGACCTGGGAGAGCTGAGGTTTGTTCCCAAGTCCATCACAGAATTCCCAACTAAATCTTCAACTGATTCTTGTAGGTTTTAGTGGTTGTGATCAAGAATTTCCTCCAAGACACCACAGAATCACAGAATGGTTTGGGTTGGGAAGGACCATAAAGATCTTCCAGTTCCAACCTCCTGCCATGGGCAGAGACACTTTCCACTATCCCAGGTTGCTCCAAGCCCTGTCCAATCTTGTCTTGAACACTTCCAGGGATAGGAGAGCCACAACTTCTCAGGGAAACCTCCTCCAGGACCTCACCAGCTTCTGAATATAGATTTTTTTTCCAAATATCCAATCTAAACTTACTCTCTTTCAATTCAAAGCTATTATTCTTTGTCCTGTCACTCCATGCCCCCCTGAAAAGTCCCTCTCCACCTCTCTTGCAGACCCTCATGAGCTACTGAAAGTTGCTCTAAGGTCTCCTGGGAGAAAGTACAATTGTAAGGTGTATTTTCCAGGGAAATAATATGGTTTTGCAGTTTCACACGGCTGACAGGATGGATTGTTTTGCTGTTGAGTGCCTTGGTTTACAGGTTTGCTCCTTGGTTCCTCTTGTTTGCTCCATTTTCTGTCTCCTTGAAGCGCACCCCAACACACACCCTCACCTCTCTCTGGCTGCTCTCACAGCTTGGATTCCGTAAGTTTGTGCTGAAGGCTGTTTCCCTAAAAATGAAGGATTTCTGGCCTGGGGGCACCTGCAGCCTCAGATGCCAATTATGTGTGTACGTGGTACACTGAGGCTGGCTGGGGAAGCTGCACTCTGGATTTTCTCCACTTTTAATGGATTTAGCTCCCAACCACTGCTCTCTCAAGGTGGTTGCACTTTCATCTTCCTTCACGTGTCTGGCCCAATTAAGGGAGGATGGCGAGTGATTTATTTTGGTCCTGGAGTTTTGCTGCCTGGTGAATCACAGCGCTGATTTTTTTGCTTGGTTTTGAAACTCTGAAAGGAAAAAAAAAAAAGGAGAATTAAGTAGAACAGGTGCCTGAGGCCATCAGGTTGTGCCCAGTACAGTGCAGAACTGGGATTTTCTGGTGCTTTGCTTTCCATGGAGGACAAACCAGAGGAAAAGCTGCAAGTGTCAGTGCATCCCAAAGGAGACTTCAGCCCTTTACTGAGATATATATCAATGAGGACATCATGTGACATGTGGTCATATGCCACATTCCCAGATTTTTGCACGTCAGAGGGAAAATGACTGGTCCAGAACATGAGAAATTTGAATATCTAAGCCCAGAATGAAGTATCACAGCTCATGTCATCCAGCCTAACACCCCAACATCTTTCTCAGTACAAGAAAGACATGGAGCAGTTGGAACAGGACCAGAGGAGGCCACAAAAATGATCAGAGAGATGAACTGCCATGAAGAAAGGCTGTACAGTTGGTGTTGTTCAGCCTGGAGAAGAGGAGGCTCTGGGGAGTCTTTAATGTGGCCTTTCAATACTTAGTATAAGAAAGATGAGGACAAAATTTTAGTAGCACCTGTAGTGATGGTACAATGGTTTTAAACTGACAAAAGAGTAGATACAGAGTGGTTATAATGAAGAATTTTGGTTTATGGTGAGTAAAACACTGAACCAGGATGCCCCATCACTAGAACCATTTCGGGCTGGGGAGGTTGGACTAGATGACCTTTAAGGGTCCCTGCCAACCCAAACCATTCTGATTCTGCCATCACACCAGAATCACACCACATGTAAGCTTTCTTTGTGGTAGAAACACCAGTTTTGGATGTTTTCATAGCCTTGGTGTAAGAAAGCACTAGCTGGGTTGGGGCCTGTGTAGTTTCCCAGTTTCATGTAGCACCTTTATCTTTTCCTTTGATGCCATTGTGTCTTCTGTGCCTTTGAGCTGAACTATTTGGATACCAAAGCCCTGGGACACTGTTGAAATGCTGAAGGGTGTCTGGGTGAAGCATTTCTGTGGATAAGGAGGAAGAAGTTGTCTTCCTCTGACACTGCCGCATTTATTTCATTCTGCTGCTACCTCAGGCCTTGCAGATTTTTAATTTTTATTTATTTTTAACCAGCAAGGCAAAATAACTCTGGCTCAAATATTTCTACTGGAGGCCCAGGAGCTTATAGCATCAAACTGCCTCTTTTGAGAGCTCATCAGGACTGCAGTGTGATGGATAGACTCCAGCCAGCTGTGTACTAGTAATGTTCCAGAAGACAGCATCACCTTTTTTTTTGATTGAGTGCTGAAGTCTTTGCCTTCCAGCTCAGGATCTCAAAGCACTTTGTGAACAGCAAGGAATTAAAAGTTGCCCTTTATCAATGGAGAAAATGAGACACAGGGAGGTCAAATGACTTGCTTGCCCTCAAAACAATTTGTAGTCCAGAACACCTGGATTTTAGTGCTTTTAATTTTTTGCAGGTGGGCATCCTGAAGTTTGGAGATTGCCCTGTATCTTTTATTTGCCTTCTCAGTCCTCTTTTTTCCTTAGGCTACTGGGGTTTAGCTGACTTTTAACAGGGCTGTGCCTGTCTTTTTCTCTGTTTTTCAGGTTTGAAGTGTAATCCTGCATCCATCACTATCCAGAAAATGTCTTATGGATCCATTGATGGGAGTGGATTTGGGAGCAGGAACCCATTTGGAGGCCCTTCGAGACAAGGCTATCAACCTCTCGGTGAAGTATTGATCCCTTGCTGTAATTTATTCCACCTGACTCCCTTAGGACTGAAGTTTGACTTGCTCAGGTTCACTGTGGCTGCTGTATAAATATCACACCCTCACCAGGGGTCATTTCTGACACTAATTTTCAAAGGTGAAACCTCAACTTTTTCAGTTTGATTTGTGTGATTGAGGCCCAACGTCTTACCGTGCTCAGGATTTGGGGCTGCAGCCTGGGAGAGCAGCACTAATGAGGGTTTTGGAGGAATTTTCAGAGATCCAAAGGAGAAATACAGATTATTCTCCAAAGTGGCTTGTGTCTTTTCCCATCTCCCCATCACCTTTACAAGAAGTTTATCTCAATGGCTGTTCTAAGGCTGGCAGATGGAGGGAGTAGATGGGAAGATGTACAAAATGCAGTGGGCTTTGCTTTCCTAGAAGATAACTTTGCTGTGGAAGCTTCTTGAATCTGGGAAACATTCTTGGATGTGGCAAACAAAAACTCACTCAGGAAATGCTGAAACCACGAACAGTGGCTTACAAATGGCCATGAATTCTTTCTTTGTGTCATTTTTTTAAGCAGAGGCCAGACCAGCTGTAGGGCTCATCTGGCCTTATCTAGTCTAGCTTTGAGCAAGTATTTTTATCTGGAACTTATCTTTCAATTTATTCCTGGATCTGGCCTGCCCTTGTAACATGGCAAAGGGCTCTCTTTTCCTTTTTTCAGGGAAGAATGTCACCCCTCTCTCCTCTTGCCTTTGATTTCAACTGGGCCATTCACTAACACAGCCTGATTTGGTGTTGTGAAACATTTTTTTGTTTTACAAATAGCAGTTCTCCATGGATTTTATTATTATATATATATATATATATATAAATAGAGGTTTAGAGGTTTCTCTTGGGTTTCTTTCTTCTTACAAATTTGGGTTTAATTTTGATTTTTTTGATTTTTTTTTCTTTGGACAGGAAGAAGGTATTGAAGTAAGTATGAGTTGTCTGTTCAGTTGTAAATAGTGATTTTTTTTGCTATTCTGCAAGGCAAAATTAAAGGCAGAAAAGCAAGGAAGAATGGGATACTTGGGCACAATCAAAGAACTGTAAGAAAAGATAATTGAAATGTGGACTAGACAAACGATGAATCTCAGTGTGTTGTAGCTTAGATTTTTTTTTAAAAAATGAATATTTATTGTGCTGTATGAAAGAACCTCTGTTTTTAATGCAAATTCACAGAATAACTCAAGACACTTGAAATCTCTAAATATTTGAAGAGATCCCTTATTGTGCCCAGCTTGCCCACAGCTTGGCAGTTGGAGCTGTGATGCTGAAGCTGCCTGCAGTGGATGGCAAAGAGGAGCTGGTGTAGAAAATTCAGTTTTTTTGAAACTGCCATGGTGTGCTGTCCGCCCAGCAGAGCCTGTTGATGCTCTGGATTATGGCTTAGACTTGAGTGCTGGTTTCCCCTCCAGGCTTGCACACATCCTGTCCAGTGGCATTGCCATGGACACATCTCTAGGGTACTCCAGCGTGGATTTTCCCAGGCAGCCAAAACTGGTTGGTCCCTTAGCTCAGCATCCCTGTAGAAAAGATTTCAAGGGGAGGGATGGGTTTGTGTTGGCCAAGGCACCTTGGAGAAGTTTCCTTTCTGTGTGTCTCAGTCAGAGGTGGGTTCATTCAGCCTTGAGAAAAGAAGATTTAGGGGAGGCCTTTTCATTGTGTTCCAGCATTTAAAGGGTGGCTACAAAGGAGATGAAGACTCTTTTTTCACATGGAAAAGATGTGGGGTGTAAGTTACTCCTGGGGAGATTATCAGGTACTCAGACAAGAGGAAAACGTTTTGCAATGAGAACAATCAGCCTTTAGAATAATCTCCCCAGAGAAGTGGTGGATTCCTGCATGTTGGACAGTTTTAAAGTTCATCTAGATGGAGCGCTGGGCCATCCTGTCCAGGCTGTGCTTTTGCCAAGAAAGGTTGGATCAGATGGTCCTGGAGGTTCCTTTGCAGCTTGGCATCCTGTGATTCTCTTCTATGTCATCTGAACCTGTGTCCCTTTGTCACTGCAGATGGACACATTGGATGCCTTTTGTCACAGTATCCCCAAATATTGCCATTAATTAAGTGCCAGGAGAGGGTAATGCAACACTAATTATCTGCCTCCTGCTTCTGGACGATGGATGACTGGTTTGCTAAGAAAAATTGCCTTTTGTATTAGATCATGGTGTGGCTGGAACAAAGGAGCATGGCCTTCCCACCAGCTTTTGTGTCTCTGTTCTCAGCAGGGACAGACCTCGATGGGAATGTCCTGTGCGTGCTTTAAACTTCTCCCTCTCCTTGTAAATAATAAATTAATAAAACCAGGTATTCCTGAAGGTAAATGTCCAACAGAGGTCCAGTATTCAATATCCAACTGAAATATTCAGTATCCAACAGAAAACCCTGAGATACAGCAGCAGTAGAGGTGATGGGCTTCATCCTTAATATAGAGAGCAAAGAAGAGGGGGCTTAGTTTTAGTTTGGTTTTGTTTAATGAAGGGTGATACTGCCATAGGGGCTTCCTCTGTGCTTAGACATCTGTTTATCTTGGCTCTGTTTCTTCCATGCTCAATCCAAATGTGCTGCCAGGATGGGAAAGTTTAATTACTTGAAGGTGATCCCCTTGGCTCTGGGCTGATGTGATGATGGATGGACTCAGAGCCCATCCTCAGGCCATGTGGAGGTTAACGTTGCTGACCATCCTAATTAGAAAGATCCACAAACTCCATCTGCAGAGTCTGGGGAGGGTCCTAAGGCAGTATTTTAGCAATTTGGTTTGCCCTGGACACCTTGGTGTTGGAAAACTCTAGTTCAGACTCTATTTTTGACGGTGGATATCCAGGATTTCTTGGGGAAAACAAAAACAAGTGGGTTTTTTTTTTTCATTATTATTATTTTTTAATGTTGGCAGGTTTTAGGAGGGGAGGGAGAAGCTCAGCAGAACTCAGATGTTCTGTGGCTTTAACCATGGGGCATCCTGAGGTGTGTCACAAGCAGGATCACCAGGATTACCTGGAGTAGAGCACTTTGAGGTTTTGATTGTCCCACAGCCACTGAGGGACAGCCAGGAGAGGCAAGCGGGGACACAAGCCATGTCCCTGCTTTGAAGCTGGGAATTACAACCTCCTACAGCAACATCTGCTTTTCATATCCTCTTTCTGATCCCCAAAATCATTGTAAACCCTCGTGTTCCCCAGTTTCCTTGCAGGAGCTTCTCTGGGCTTCATCTGGGCATTGGTGTTGCATGGATAAACTAGAAAGCAGGTAGTAGAAAGTAATTGTTTTGGTTTGTTGGTTTTTGTTTTTTTTCTTTTTGTTTTTAAGTTTAAACATAGAAATGGAAAAGATGGACGTCAAAAATATTATTTTTTTAAAGTAATGTGATGTCTAAGTAATGTCTAAGACAAACAGAGAGCAAATGTGGTAGAGGGGTAGGAATTAAACTCTGGATTCTTACTGTGTGCAACCTGCGCTCTCCACCATGTTCGAACTACCTTCCAAAAACCATCTTTTCCTGGGGAAAATGAACAAAACCTGCTTTACACAAGGAGGCATATAGGTCAGGGAATTTAAATGGCTTGGATTAAAATGCCACAAGACAGGAAACTTTTAACACTGCTTTTATTAACCTTACTGTAACCTGGATGTTAAATGCCAGCTCTGAAAAGGTAAGGTTAATTTCATATTCCAGCAGTGCATTGCTTCCAGGTGAGCTCAAGGGACTGCTGGGTCAGTGCCTAATTTGGCTGTGACTTCATTTAGACCATTTTCCCCTCAGTTTCTCCTGAAGATTTTGTGTGGGACTCTGGCCAGGGTTGTACTCAAGATATATCACATGTGAGTCTTTCTCCTGGTTGGATAAGGCTGGTTATCTTGTCACTGAACAAAATGAAATTCGTCCCTGAAAGTTGTGTTTGGCAGTGTTCTCTGGGTATAAATCACCTAATTATCATTTCAATACTTAGCAATTGTTAAATTAATTTTTCTAATTATTTTTTTTTTTTCCTGGAATTGGGTCTATAATTTTCTTTGCTGTCCCATCTCTACCATTCACCTGCCTCTGTGCGGCACCAACCAGCTCTTGGTTAGAAAGTCATGTGCCAGTGCTGGCAGCAGGGTCACTGACCTGTCATGGAATTGTTTAGGTGGGAAAAGCCTTCTGAGATCCTCAAGTCCAACCATTAACCCAACACCGCCAGATCCACCACTAAACCATGTTCCCAGGTGCCACATCTACACATCTTGTAAATCCCTGCAGGGCTGGTGACACAACCACGTCCCTCGGCAGCCTGTTCCAGGGCTTGACAACCCTTTCAGAGATTTTTTTTCCCAAATACCCAATCCAAACCTCCTCCTTACAGATGAACCACTCTTCTGTCCTCTCCAATCCTATTTACCTCCTTTTCTAGCAATTCAGGAAAGTGATTTGTCTTTAGTAACACACCATGGGGTTCTTAGTTGCCTCCAAGTTTGGCAGAGTCACAGAGCTCGTGTGCTCCATGGGAGGGAGATGTTCAGATCATTGTGACCCCTTTGGTGGGATGGTGTTGCTGTGTAAAAACGCTCGCTCGCGGTGAGAGACTTCTCCAGGGTCAAACTGTTCAGGTGTAAGCAATTTATTATATGGGTAAAGAGAGGGGAGACCCGTGTCCGCCACCAGCCTCGTCACCCATGTGGCTCAGGGGAGGGGAAAGAGAGCGGGGAGAGCAGGAGAGGAGAGGTTGGAAAAGGGGAGGGAGGGAGTAAGAGAGACAGTGGGAGAGCAGAGGGAAACCAGGGAGGCTTAGGAGAGAGGGGGAGACAAGAGAGGGGTAAGAGGGGAAAAACCAAGAGGGTAAAAGTAAGAGAAGGAAAGAGTGGAAGAGGTAAGAGAGGAGGAGAGAGGAGCTGAGAGAGCAGTTAACAGAAGGGTTAAGAGGGAAAAGCTAAGAGAGTGAAGTTCTCGTTACAATCCAATATATTTTTTTCTATAGTGAATATTCTAA